AAGGCGGAACATCGAAACTTCGGATGTGCACAGACTACCACGCCCTGAACCGGATCACGATCAAGAACAAGTACCCCCTACCTCGGATCTCCAAGCTTCTTGATCGACTCCGTGAAGCCAAGTATTTCACCAAGATCGACCTTCGTAGTGGCTTCCACCAGATCCTCATCTGCGAGGACACCCACAAGACCGCATTCCGCTCTCGATTTCGGGCACTACGAGTTCCTCGTGATGCCTTTCGGACTTACCAATGCCCCTGCCATATTCCAGTCCACCATGAATCACATCCTCCGCAACCTCCTCGAAGTCTGTGTTGTCGTCTACCTCGATGGCATCCTCTTCTATAGCCCACCTTCGACTCCCACCTTCAACATTTAAACCAGGTAGTCTCTATCCTGAAAGAGAAAAAACTCTACGGCAAGCTTAGCAAATACACCTTTGTTGCTTCAAGCATTGAATACCTTGGCCACATCGTCTCCGCTGAAGGTATCAATATGGACCCCTCGAAGGTCATGGCCGTCGTCGGGTATCCACCTCCCAAGACCCTACTCCAACTCCGATCATTTTTCGGCCTTGCTAACTACCACCGCCCCTTTATTCGCAACTTCTTCGACATCTCGTACCTTCTCCACGAACTCACCCGCAAGGACGAACCCTTCACTTGGAATGATCGCTGCCAAAACACCTTCGATGCCATAAAACAACTCATCACCACCGCCCCCGTCCTCAAGATCACCGACCCCACTCGCCATTTCTACGTCACCACCGACGCCTCCGACTTCGCCATTGGAGCCGTCCTGTCCCAACATTTCCCTCGTGACACCACCGAAACTCCTTCCATCAAGGAATCCCCTACCAACCCCGAGGCTCCACACGACGAATACCCCATCGCCTTCGCCAATAAGAAACTCCTTCCCGCGGAAATGAATTACCCCTCCAACGAGAAGGAGCTCCTCGCCGTGATCCTCACCCTCACAGTCTGGCGCCCATACCTCGACGGGCAATATTTCACCGTCCGCACAGATAACACCATCGTCTCTTCTATCATAACGAAGAAAGACATTACCCCACGACAAGCCCGTTGGTTAGACTTTCTTGCCCAATTCACATTCACCATTTGCCACACTGTCGACAAAAGCAACTGTGTTGATGATGCCCTCTCTCGACGCCCTGACTACAAGCCCTCTGAGAAAGTCAACATCGCCATGACTCATATCCAACTCCTCCCATCACTCCACCACCGCTACACTAAGGCTACCTCTCTTGCCCGGATTTCTCAACAATCTACAACAAACTTCGTGACCTCGACTCAGTTCCCGACTACTCCCTTCACAACCAACTTCTTTACATTGACACCAAAGGCACTCATCGACTTTGCATCCCCGATGCATGTGGCCTCCGTACCCAACTCTTGGCCGAGTATCACGACGCCAAGAGTGCAGGACACCTCGGTTCCAAAAAACCTTCGACACCATCTCTCGTTACTTCTACCGACCTTCCCTACTCGCCGATGTCAAAGCCTACATCCGCTCATGCCCCACATGTCAAGTCGTCAACCCCTCAAACCGCGCCAAGCCCGACAAGCTACAATGATTGCCGATCCCCACCCGCCGGTGGCAGTCCATCTCCATGGACTTTGTCTGTGGTCTCCCCAAGACCGACCATGTGTTCGTTTAAGGGCTTCGGTGGCTTCTCTAAGGAGTCTGTTCATTGTTGTTACCCATTCATTGAGAGAAGGGCAGGGGGTGGATGGGTTAAGCTCCGAAGGAAGCAAGAAGTCGGAGGGCAAGCGAGGGTGGTAGCCGAGGTCAAGGTAGAATGAAGAGATGCCAGTGGAAGGACAAATGACGTTGTTGTAGGCAATCTCAGCAGCAGTGAGCAACTGATCCCAATCGTGTTGGTGTGGATGACAACACTTCCGTAGGATTCTTTGGAGAGTATCGTTCATCTTCTATGTTTGTCCGTCGGTTTGTGGGTGGAATGCAGTGTTGTACTTGAGCGTGGTTTCATAGGCCTTGAAGAGGTGTTTCCAGAATTGTGATAGGAAGACAAGACTAACAAACACAGATGTGAGGTGTCATTCAGCGTAAGGGACAAAGTTTGGCTCTCCGCCAAACGCTTTGAACCCGAATACGGCTTGTCCAAAAAACTCTCGAACAAGTGGCTCGGACCCTTCCCGATCATTGACCAAACCTCCCAAGTCAACTACAAACTCCAATTCCCTCCTGACATGGCTCGCGTCCACCCTGTCTTCCACGTGGAGTACCTCAAAGAATACCATGAATCCCCACCCCAATTCGCTGACCGCCCATATCCTAGACCTCCACCAATCATGTTACCCACAGCCCCTGAATTCGTCGTCGAAGCCATCATAGGATGAAGAACTATTTGACCACCCTGAACCAATTACAAAATACAAAGATAAATGGACAAGATACCCTGACGAAGAATCCACATGGGAACCTCTTGCTAACCTTAAGAATGCTATGAAACTTGTTCGTGCCTATGATCACGCTCACCCTATATCCTAGATACATAATCTAACCCAAACCCTAAACCCTTGCATAAACCTTGCCTTGACCTCGCCAAAGCCCTGCATTACACACCCCTGTACCTAGCGAAGCCCTTGCCTCTTGAACACCCCCCCCCCTGTCTGATCCGCTCTTGCCTCCGCCTTGCCCCATTGTTGCATACTTGTGAGTACTTCAACAAGTATGGGCAGAACCAAGAGATCAACCAATATAAGATGAGCATGTATGCAGCGGAAGTCTGATAAATGGACTGACTCACATAGACTGACTCACACAGATATCACTCCACACACAAACAATCGTGAGATGGTGGGGTCTGAGCCAATCATAGACGATGCTCAGGCCCCGTACAACCATACACAAATGAAAGGTGGGAGAAGAGACGAAGGAGGTGGGCGATGTAGGCAGCGCCAGATGTCATCGAGATAGAATCCAGTAGGTCACGGATATGGTAGTCCAAAATGTCATCGAACAAGATCAAAATGTCGTGGACAATAAGTCACTAATGTCGGAGGTACAAAGTCCTAATGTAACCGGTGTCCAATCGGTGATCAACCCCAACAATCTCCAGGTCTCGAATCCGGTAAGTACCACAGCCTCTTACCACCGAAGTCCAACACTAATCTCTGTCCAACTCGTATCAAGTCTCCAATCTGAAGAAGAAGAAGAAGTTTGATGAAGAAGAAGAAGAAAAAGAAGAAGAAGAAGAAGAAGAAGAAGAAAAGAACAGAGGAGGAGAGAGGTGAGGAGGAGGGGAACCAGGGACTGAGGAGGGAGGAGACGACCTCACCCCCAAGTACCTGGTCTGCTGCAACTGCCTGGAGCCGAAGTCGGCTATGGTTGTCCGCTGTCTGGCTCCTCGGTTGCTGCTGCTGCTGCGCTAGCCGTGCTGCTGCGCACCTCCGAGCTTGCGCTGAGAATAGCGCAGCGTTACTGCTCCGCTGTAACCGAAACGAACTGGCGCTACCGCAGCGTCCAGTTGCTCGATGCCTCGAAGTGAGGCCGGCCGGTACTAAGTACCGGTGGGTTAGAGGCCGGCCTCAATGCTGCGAGGCCTGGCCGTGATCTGAACCGTCAAGATCGACGATTCAGATCGGATCGGCAGGCGACAGCCTCAAAAGCGCCGCCAGGCCCAACATGAGAATATCGTTTGGGCCTGCCCGTCGGTCTGGTCCAAAATGTGGCCTTTCGGCCTGCTGTACCCCCAAGTCTGGGCCTTTAGGCCCTACTGTGTCCCCTCTGCCCTAAGTCGGGTCCGCTAGGGCCCGTGTGGCGTCGAAGATGTAACACACTCCCCCTCTTAAAAGACCGAGCTACCTGCGAGGGCGGAGTTGTCTGTCCGATACCGGGGCGGGTCGGGCGGGACGAGCTGCTTCCTTGGCAAGTCGTCGCTTCTCATAGTCGGCGAAGATAAGGGGTGCAGAAGTCTGCAAGTCTGCACGAGAGATCCACCGACTGTCGTCAGACGCACATTGCTTGAATGTGACTTTGAACTGCATTGGCTTGTTGCCATGCTTGCGGTGCGTGATGACTCGGTCGACTTCCTGATGTCCGTCCATAGAAGGCGGATCCTGTGATCGTCGGCCCGGAAACTCGTCAGCGGAAGGTGGCGTGTAGATGGCCAGCTTCGACGCGTGGAAGACCCGGTGCACCGTAAGGTGCGGTGGAATGTTGACCACAAAGAAAGGACCTGGGGGGTCGTCTCCAATGGCAGAAGTAATTTCCCATGGTCCGAACCATTTCGGAAGGAGTTTGCGTGAAACGTCCTGCTCGAGCGCAAATTCCTCGGAGAGGACCCAAACAAGGTCTCCCTCGTGGAAAGGACATGGGAGTCAACGTCGGTTAGTTTGTTGCTGCATGCGGATTTGAGCCTTTTGCATATTTGCACGGGCTTTGATCAGCAAGTCCCGGTACTTCCGGACGGAAGCTGGAGAGCAAGGGACGTCTATGTCGGCAGCCTGTGGCAAAAGGAGATCAGCGAAGATCCGTGCTTTCTCTCCACCATGATGTAACTCGAATGGTGTGATGCAGATTGCCGGGTGCACCGAAGTGTCATAGGCGAACTCAATGTCGGGAAGCCGGTCAACCCAATCTTTCTGGTCGGGACGGATGAGCGTACGCAACATCATCTGAGCGGTCTGGTGCGCTCGCTCTGTCTGGCCATCTGTCTGCGGGTGCTGAGCCGAGCTCGACTTCATTGTCGTACTAGACTCAGCCATAAGGGAAGTCCAAAAGACCGACATGAAGCGAGTATCTCGGTCGCTCACTATGTCTTACGGAACACCCTGGTTGGTAATCCAACCGGTGTGCAAGAGTCGTGCGAGCTCAGACGCTACATCATGATACTTGCAAGGAAGAAAACGAGCATACTTGCTCAAATGGTCAATGACCGTGAGAATACAGTCATGGCCGAGCCGATCGCGGGGGAACGGGCCTGTAACGTCCATAGCAATGGAGAGGCGCGGTGCCCGAGGAATCGGCAACGGTTTCAGTTCGCCGAAGGGGACTCAAGATCAACCCTTGTTACGGTGGCAAACTGCACATGACTCAATGTACCTCGTGACGTCGTGAAGGACGTCGAGCCAGTGAAAACGCTGGCGGAGGCGTGCTAATGTGCGGGTCATCAAGGTGTGCCGAAAGTCGTGCGTTGTGGAATTCGCCGAGAAGACGAGTCCGTAAGATACGATCTTGGGGCACAACTAACAAGTCCTTTCCTCTCGTGTGAAGGAGAAGGAACCCGTCGGAGATCCGATAATGGCTAGCCGGCGGGTGATCCGATGAAAGCTCTGCGTAAAGCGTAGAGTAAGTCGGATCGGACTTGTAGCCTTTGACAAAATGCTGCTGCAGATCGTCATCGAGGTTGAATGTCGTGGTCACAATGGCACAAAAATCGGGCCGTCGTGAGAGGGCGTCCGCAACTTGATTGGCGGGACCGGGAATGTGGCACGGGTCAAAGTCGGACTGGTCGATGTAATACATCCATCGACCGATCGTGCTAGTGACCGTATCCTCCGTTTTATAAAAGGTCAACGGATTGTTGTCCGTATTCCATTTAAAATGCCGACGACCGAGAAGAAAGTGGCGCCACCGTTTGAGAACGGTGACGAACGCGAGTAGCTCTTTCTTTCTAGCGTCGTCGAGAGTGTTGACGAGAGGCACCTTTTGGGAGAAATACTCCACCGGCTGCCAACCGTCCTCGTGACACTGTTCCAACACCGCACCAATACCGTATCCCGAAGCGTCCGTAGTCACTTGGGTGGGAAGGGTAGGGTCGTATATACGGAGGGCAGGTGCGGCTTGCATTGCTGCCTTCAACGTATTGAACGCGTCACGGGCTGCGTCGTCGAACTCAAAGGGCACCTTTGGGGATTGAAGTCTCGACAAGGGAGCGGCCACTTTCGAGTATGAGCCGACGAATCGCTGATAATATCCAGCCAAACCCATGAAAGAGCGTACATCCATCGTGCAACGGGGTTCCGGCCAATCCATGATGGCTTGGATCTTGTCCGCTAAGGGACGAATGCCTTTCGGCGTGACGTAGTGACCCAAGTACTCAAGCTCCTGCTTGGCGAACTCGCACTTGTCGAGATTCGCTTTGTACTTGGCCAGTCGCAAATGATCCAAAACAGCACGAAGGTGTATGATGTGCTTGTCCAACGTCCTACTATAAACCAAGATGTCATCGAGGTAGATGAGGACGCTGCGATCGAGCAAGTCGCGAAACTCAGTTGTCATAGCTGCTTGGAAAGTCGCGGGGGCATTGGTGAGGCCAAATGGCATGACCACCCGCTCAAARTGCCCGTACCACGTCTTGAACGCGGTTTTGTACCGATCTTGAGGCTGGATTTCAATCTGGTGGTAACCCGACTTCAAGTCCAACTTTGAGAAGTACGTCGCGCCGCCTAACCGCTCAAGGAGATCATTGATCCGAGGGAGAGGGTCGGCGTTCTTTACGGTTTGTGCGTTAAGTTTTCGATAATCGATGCATAACCGTAGACCTTTGTTCTTCTTCCGGACGAAGAGAACAGGGGCACCGTAAGGCGAACAACTAGGGCGAATCCAGCCCTTGTCAAGGAGGTCGTTGAGTTGTGCGTGAAGCACCTCGAGTTCCTCTTCGCTCATGCAGTAAATGCATCCACGTGGAGGGATGGCGCTAGTCTCGAGAGTGATCCCGTGACGTATGGGCCGATCCGGAACCGTTCCGGGGGGAGCCTCGAAAACGTCTCCATACTCGTCCAAGAGGTGAGAAATGCGTGGGTCCGGCGGTGACGTGGCTGGTCCGTCCGGCGAGGGAAGAGCATGCAAGAATACAAGGCCCATCTCCTCGACGTCATTCCGAGCTATGGCGTCGCGAATTCTCGCAACGGAAACCACGTGACAAACAATCGAACTGTGAGGGGTCGCGACCATACATGGGACTAACACTCCGTTCCGATCACGGATGTGAACGGTTCGGTCATGAAAGTTCATCGGATGATCGGCGCTACGCATCCAAGACATGCCTAGAATCATGTCAAACTTGGTGTCGAGGATGTCGAAAGACACCGGCTCGCACGCAAGGGGCGCAAAGTATACCGGGACGCCGTCAACGCATCGGTCGATGGACTTTTGCGTGCGGCCGTCCGCGAGTGTAACTTGTGTAGGTTGCGTCTTCCTTCGAACATGCAGGCCAAGGCCTGCGCGGGCCATAAAGGCTTGGCTCATGAAATTGCGAGATGCTCCGCAATCAATCAAGACACTGCAAGTTGCCTTTCCAATTTGAATGCGGATATAGAGCAAAGGCGCGTCCGTCTCGACGTACCTTTGGGTGGCATACTTGCGGTCAATCTTCGCAAGATAGGAGCGGATATCGACCACCGCTACTCCGTCGTCCGTCAACGGAGCTGGTATTGCAGTGTGCAAATAGGAGCGTAGATTTGCCATCAAGGCCTTGCAATGCGGCCTTGGCAAGGTTTCGGTTGAGGGTAGAGGCATCCAAGCGAAGTCCTCTCTCGTGAGCGGGTCAAGCTCCTCAAGTCTTGACCACGCCGTCGAGTCCTCGGAATTCAATGGCGAGCTGACCGGATCACTTACCGACGGTGTACAGGCTGCGCATACGCTATCTAAGTGCACGTGGCTAGGCTGGTCTAATGATGGTACCAACTGGGCGGCATAATCCTCGTACGTAGCACGAGAATCAGCGACTAACGCATGCTCCCCGGTAGTGACATCGGTTGCTAGCAAGGCAACTGGTTCCGGCGGAGTGAGGAGAAGCGTCGCCCCTCTCCTTGCGTAACTCAGTTTCCCGAGTTCGCTGGACGGGGTACGCGTGCCTTGCCCTTGTCCGGGCATTGTGCGATAGTGTGGGTTACACTATTGCACCATAGGCAACGTACCGTTGACGTAGGTCAAATACCTCCTTGGTTGTGTTGTATGCCGTCCATGGTTGCTGCCGAGTTCCCGTCGCTGTCGTCGCTTGTGTCGCCGGTTTCTTTCGAACTCTCTTGGGACGCTTCGGCGGGAGCGCTGCAATAGTTCCTCCATCACTCGAGGATGCTGCTGCAGCGTGGAGATCAACTGATTCATAAGAAATCACGACATTGTTATGTGCCGGTCGTTGATAGCCCTGCTTAGCCACATAGTGCGGCTGGGACTGCTTCTTGTTAGCGGCCTTGTCGTCCGTCTGGATGACTAGGTTCGCACGATCCAGTATAGCGTGGAGTGAGGCATAATCGTACTCGTTGCGCACGATCGCGAGAAGAACTCGGATCGTTGGTTTGGAAAACTCAAATCGAAACTTGGTGTGGTCACTATTTTCTGCCACTTGATCGTCCAGTCTCGAGTTGGCGTAGTCCCTTGTGAGCAAGTGTAGACCTCGTTCATGGCCGCCTTCACAACATTGCGGACCATAAAACGGGTGTTCCACAGCTGCTCAAAATCTTCCCACGTGAGGTGTTTGTGTAGCTCGGCGATAGTGGTTTCCTTGTTAACCGCGAGGTGGTTCATCCATGCCTGCGCACCTCCAATGAGTTGGAGGTATAGCGCCTTCATCATGCACGGCTGGGACCTTGTGGCAGGACGCTTCGGTGAGGAAGGCCTGCCACCATGTCAAAGCGTCGGTCTTGTTATAGTCGTCAAACTTGCTGATGTTGAAGCATGGCATCTTGTATACCTTCGCAGCTGCTGCCGGTTGCGACTGCAGTTTGGTGATGTCCATCTTGATGGCGGCCACCGTGCTGCTGATCGTAGCCGGACTGGTGAAGTCACCTAGTTCGCCGCTTAGAGCGACGACATGGTCGATACGCTCGCCGAGCTGTTTCGCCGTGTCTGTCATGCAGCCTGGCGCTGCTTGGGAATGCCTTGCCTCCAGAGCAGCAATGCGGGTGTCCATCTGTTGCAGCTGGGAGTCCGCGATCTTGATGGCTGCTGCAAGCGTCTTCACGTTATGGTTAAGATCGTGCTGCAGCTGCCGTGTAGACCTGGAATGAAGTTCACCCATGGTGCTGTTCCAGATAACTGCGGGCATTGTGCTTAGTAGAATGTCTGCCAGGTTTTGTCTCTCCTGCTGTACTGGGACATAGTCTGGTTAAAGTCATCTGAACTGCGACAGGAATTAGGGATCTCCAGAAAACTAATGCCACAGTAGTGGGTGATCAGATGGATGGACCCTCCTATGTGATTCGCATCCCACCACACCTACGCACACACCCAGACTTTCACGCCTCAAAGCTGGCACCTTTAGCCGAAACCGCACAGTTACCTCCAGACGGTCAATGCTGCCCCCAACCATGGATGGTGAAGTCGACATCGACGGAATCGTGGAGCATCGAATGATGCCAGTGCCTAAACCGCCGGGCAGAGGCCGTCCTCCCAAGCCGAGGATGCAGTATTGTGTCAGGTTCAGACACCATCTTGATCCCAGCGAAGATCGGTGGTTCACTAGAGAAGAACTCCAGCGAACAGCACCTCAAGTGATAGCAGGCTATGAAAGAGAACTCAAGGGAAAGATGCCTGCACATTAGAAGACTTCTCAGAGGACTGTTGAAGTAAAGGAGGAGGGAATGCGAGGATCTGGGTCCTCGGCGGGCCTAAGGGGCCCTGATGCAAATGTGCCCGCCCTAAGTGAAGGCGGGCCTAACAAATCTGGAGAGGCCCTCTGCTGTCAATTTCGTATTCGGGGTCCAGGCAGTTGTGACGCGCCAGTTGGTTGAGGGAACAAAGGCCGAGCAGCAAAAACATTCCACGGCCTTCCAGGCCTTTCCCGAAATGCAGGCCCTGGGCAAGAATCGCAGCCTCATACACAGACAGTTGGGAGGCCCAAGCGAACGAGGCCCAGCAGCTGCAACAGAGGCACAGCCTCCCGGGGCCTACCGGAAGCTTGTGGGAGAGGCCCAGGCCAGCCAGGCCGCAGGGGCAGGCAGGCTTTTTCCATATACGAAAAAGCTCGCTGCCTGGGCTCTCATTCAGGCACTTGCCAGATGATGCGGCAGCGCTGCTGGAGCAATTGCTTGCGGGCTGCTGAGCGCTAAGGGCAAGGTGCTGCGCACGTGCGGTCGTGCAGGGAGCAGGGCGCTTCTGAGGGCAGCGCCATAGCCCGGCCTCCATACCTGGCTGGGGCTTGGTCTACAGTGAGGCGCAGGGGTGGTCTTCGGGTGTACAGAGGGAAGATGTGGGTGTAAGTCAGGGGGGAGAGAGAAGGATGATGATGATGATGATGATGATGATGATGATGATGATGTGAGGGCACATACCTGGTATTCGGGATGGTCTGCATTGGGCGACATCTTCAAGTACTTCGTTGGCTGCTGACGTCAACAGTTGCATTGTCAATTAGTAAGCAGACAGTACCTGTGTAGGAAGTAGGCTGGGCGCCGTGCGCCAAGTAGGGAGAAGGGACTGGACTCTGATGTTGGTGGTGGTGAGAGAAAGCTCTCATTGACATCGGTTTTCAGTGTTACGATTTTCCATCGGTGTCATATTGGTGCAATTCTGCTTTCTGGACACTGTGATACTTTCTGGCTTTCAATTTGATTGTGCATTCTGGATATTGTCATCTCGCTATTGCTCTTTTTCCTTGCATTCTGAAGAGTCCAGGCCCACTGTAGGCAACCTGCCCGCAGCCCAACGAACTTCAGCCATAGCCCCGCTGCTTAAGCAGCCTACCGCCGACCCCTGAAGCAAGCGTGCGTCCACCTTATTAGGGTAGGGCACACCGAAGCCGTTTTGACTCCCAGTAAAGCCTCTTTTTTTTTTTTTTTCTTCAACCTAGACCGGTCAAACCCTCTGCACTCCAGTGCCGCAGCTGCGCATGCAATGCAGCCGCCTATCTCCTCTTTTCCCCCTCTTTACCACTTCACATCTGAATTGCGCAGCTTTAACAGCCGCACGACATAATTTAAAAGCAGAATAACTTTTAAAGTTTAAAGTTTAAACCCAATATTTCTACAGATGTCCGTTCCTTTGGCCTCATTTAACGCAAAGAATAATTGGACATCGCCAAACTTGGCCACCATTCCTGCAGATAGTTGGCATCTGTATAGGAACAAAAACAATCCGACTCTTGAATGAATGGCCGAGTTTGGAATGCTTTGGCAACACCTCCAACTCATCAAGTCGAAACTTCTTAAACAAAATTCACAGCGAAGACTGGACAGTGCCCAACATTGAAAACACAGGGCAGATAGCCTTGTCAAGGTTTCTACCCCGACAACGAAGAGGGTAGATAAGGTGAGGGGCAACGTACCTGACAATGCTGCCCCCAACCACAGATTTCTCACCAGTAACCTGATGAGCATTATGATGAATACGTTTTCATCGAGGTTCACCTTCTTCTTCACGGTGGTTTGCGGCGCTGTGACTTGATATCATGCCAGATCAGCGCCTGCACTCACAGGCTCGGGACATGATGGGATGCTGTGTTCAACAGTGGGCTATCATTGGAGGCTGGGGGTCATAGGGAGAAGGGAAAGTTTCACCGGAACTTCGTTGAAGTGTATTCTTGGGGGTTAATTGGAGGTGGAATAGATTTTGTCATTGAGATTCTTTGGAGTTGTTCGGTTGACAGGAGGAGAGCAGGGGCTGTAATAAATAATTGATTGAAACATTTTTCTCTCAATTTTTATATCTGGTTTTGGCTTCTGCTCTGCAATATTTCTCCATGGCTATGGTGTGAATCTGCAGTCTCCAGTCTGCCTGTCATTAGAGATGAGTGGGTAAAATCCTTGTATGTTCCTCTTGTTTTCGTTTATTTATTACGTTTCATTTCTTTTTGAATATGCCCGCCAGCCCAGGACAGGATTCTGTTTCAGGGCCAAGTAAGTTGCAATGAATAAAGCTGTCAGCTGCCAGTTCAAGTATGCAGCACTAACGGAGTTTAATTGGTCAGAGGCCAATCAGGTCTTCTGTTACATCTTCGACTCACACGGGTCCTACCGGACCCGACTTAGGGCCGGAGGGACACACCAGGGCCTAAAGGCCCGACCTTTTTGGGTTTACAGGCCCTAAAGGCCTGATTTTGGACCAGCACCCATCGGGTAGGCCCAAACGACACTTCGTTTGGGCCTGGCGGCGCTCTTGAAGCTGCCGCCCGCCGATTGAGGCTGAACCGTCCATCTGGACGGTCCAGGGTCTGGCCTGGCCTCGCAGCATTGAGGCCAGACCATTGCCTACTGGTATAAGTACCGGTATCCTGCCTCAGTTGGGGATCGGCCTACCGGAACTCTACCGGCACGGCATGGTCAGTACCATTGTACTGTTTGATGCGCTAAACTTAGCGCAGGGGCTGAAGCAGGAGCGCAGCATAGCCTGTCTCTTATACACATCTAGATGTGTATAAGAGACAGGGTTGATACTCGGCTGCATCACAGTTGGACACCGGTTACATCTGGACTCGGTTATCTCCGACATTGGTGACCTTTGGTCCTCGACATTTTGATCTTGTTATATGACATTCTGGACTACCATTTCGGAGACGTATCAGACTCTACCCTGTCTCTTATACACATCTAGATGTGTATAAGAGACAGGTGGTACTTACCTGATTGGAGACTTGGAGATTGTTGAGGTTGATACTCGGCTGCATCACAGTTGGACACCGGTTACATCTGGACTCGGTTATCTCCGACATTGGTGACCTTTGGTCCTCGACATTTTGATCTTGTTATATGACATTCTGGACTACCATTTCGGAGACGTATCAGACTCTACCTTGTGACCTATCGGTGTGATCTACCTCCTACCTCCTTCGTCTCTCCTCCCACCTTTCATCTGTGCATGTGTGTACGGGATCTGGGTAKCKYCTATGCATGACCCAGACCCCACCATCTCATGATTGTATGTGTGTGGAGTGATGCCATGTAGGTCAGTCTATGTGAGTCAGTCTATGTGAGTCAGTCTATGTGAGTCAGTTCGTTATCAGACTTCCGCTGCATAAATGCTCATCCTATATTGGTTGATCTTTGGTTCTGCCCATACTCATTGAAGTATGTAGCATCTTCACTCACAATCCTAAACCTCAAACCCAAAACCTTAATCCCAAGCCGATAACCGGTTCAGAAAGCCTGGAAGTTCGAGGTAGACTCTCTTGCAAACAGGCCGTGCCACATAAACTCTGTAATCCAGATAGGCCTATTTGTAGGCAAAATCTGTTTAAGAAGGTTCTGGAGGAGAGAGGGCATTCATTTTGGGCTTGCTTGTGTCATCTGGTGTTTGTCTGTAAGCAAATGGAAAGTGTTCTTGAAGGGTCACCCTGATGTTCAGGCTCCGTTGATGCCGATCTTTCTCTTTAGGGTATTGGGCATGCATGGGAGTTTGTTGAAACATTGTGTGGATGTTGAGGCGGTTCAAAATAACACGTTGGATTCGTTCTGTGAAGGAAGGATGTACTAACCTCACTCCAATCCTCTGCATTGGACAGCAGGTAGTCACTGACATGGATCTCATTGTTTGGGCAGGTCCAAAGTGATGGTGGATGAGTGCATCAGGGATAATGAAAATCTGCCAAGATGGTTGGTCCATTGCAACACTGCACTGACGTAGTTGTTTTGCCGTCATACAGTGGAGAAGATTTGGGACTTGTCCCCTCATTCACAAGTTTTCGCTGAGTTGTCCAACTGAGGAGGGGCGTCATGTCATCTTCAGCGTATCGTAGCCCCATCATTGCCATCTCTGTTTCCATTACGTCATGATGGGTTGTAGATCTCACCCTAATGCAAGGTTTTGGGAAGGGTGGTTGGCAAAACAGTAAGGCCTCCCCTCCCATACTTGGGGTATGCGCACAAGAGGAGGAGGATTCGGCTATAGAGGAGAGGAGAGGAAGGAGTTCAAAGCAGAGAGGTTGGGAGGAAGATTCGGCCATAGGAGAGGGAGGAGTAGCTGCCAAAAGAAAGAACGGGGGACGAAGGTTTAAACTTTAAACTGGTGTGATTATTATCTTTGCCCTATCGGAAATGTTTGTTTGAGATAATAGATCCTTTGTTATTACAGTCGTTCAGAAAAGGTTGTGAGGGGTCAATTGTTGCTCTTTCCATCCTTGTCATTGGTGACAGGTGAACTGGATGAGGTATCCAGGTCAGCGACGTTAGTCCAGGCTGCCACTGTGTATGGTGTGTAGCATTTACTCCTGGTGGTGATTTGGCAGTTTCCATCTTTTTTGGTGTTTCTTGCCTGTCTGACCAAAGGATTGACGTGGAAAGCAAAGACAATGCACAATGCAGCTCCCGGTGCACTTGAATGAGGCTGCAGTTTATGATAATGACAAGTCACTGAGGTCAGGGTTTGTGAGACGCAGTCTTCCTGCCTTGCTTCGCCGGAACGCTTGGATTTTGGTGAAGCTGGGGTTTCTCTTGTTGTTGGTTGTGGTGGCATTGGCCTGGACATTTGCTAGCCTGCCACGTGTCAATGATCTTGAGGATGAAGATTTCTCTTTGCCCTTGGCCTTGTCATTTGGACGATGGGCAGGCGCAAATGTGCAGCATGAAATTGTCACAGAAGGTGAAGTGGAAAGAACCATGGAAGATGATGGTGGCGAGAATGTGGACGATGAGGACCGCGGCATTCATCATGAGGAGCTTCAGCAGTGGCGTACGTGGGGTACAAATACAGCAGGGCATACGAACAGGGAAACTCGTGAAGGAGTGAATGGGGAAGGTGGGCGGCGCGGAGTAGGATTAGGACTGTGGTTTATGAAGAAGGAGGAAGAGAAGAAGGATGATAGGACAAGAAGGAGGGTGGGAGACAACCACGACGGGATGGGCAATCCTATCAATATGGTTCAAGGAGGGACAGATGTGGATTGGGAGGTAGCACGAGATTTTGACGGCCTCGGGATGGCCAAGAAACTGGTTGGGGGACAAGGGAATGACATGGGGACTCTGAGAGCAGAAGAAGAACATCCGCAGGAGAACAAGGGAAACCAGCTTGAGGAAGAGAAGGGGAGGAAGAAGCACAGGGCTGATACCAGCGGACGTGAGTTGGTTGGTCACCGTTTGGGGGTAGATCTTAAGAATTCAGTATACGGAGGTGAATCAGGAAAAGTTTTGACTGACCCCTGGGAGGCAAGGCAAAAGGCAGTGACAGAAGCCTTTACACGTGCATGGGAAGGGTACAAGAAGTTCGCATGGGGATATGATGAGCTGGCTCCGCTTGCAAGACGTGGCTTGAATAATCTGGGCGGGCTCGGTGCCACTATAATTGACGGTCTCGATACGGCCATGCTGATGGGATTAAGTGACATCGTGGATGAAGCAGGGGGCTGGGTGGAGCATGAGCTGGAGCACAGGCTGATGTATGGTGGGGATGTCAATGTCTTTGAGACAACCATCCGAGTGCTGGGCGGGCTGCTAAGCGCATACTTTCTGCGCGACAAGGGGTATTCATCTGCTGGGCCGGAGGCCAGCGTCTATTTGGATAAGGCGAAGGTGTTGGCCTGTCTCTTATACACATCTAGATGTGTATAAGAGACAGGATGTATGGTGGGGATGTCAATGTCTTTGAGACAACCATCCGAGTGCTGGGCGGGCTGCTAAGCGCATACTTTCTGCGCGACAAGGGGTATTCATCTGCTGGGCCGGAGGCCAGCGTCTATTTGGATAAGGCGAAGGTGTTGGCAGGTAAGTTAATGGGAGCATTCAGGGACAGTCCAACTGCAGTGCCTTTGTCAGATGTGCATCTGGCAACGGGTCGTGCATCGGCTTCTAAGTTTGATATGGGGTCGAGCAGCACAGCTGAGGCGGCCACCCTCGGGTTGGAGCTCTGGTATGTCAGCCAGCTTACAGGTGACTACCAGTTTGGTGATGCTGCCCTTAAGCTCATGCGGCATTTGTCAATCCTCCCGAAAACAGACGGTCTCGTTCCTATCTTCATCAGCCCATCGACCGGTGCATTTCAAGGTGACAACATACGGCTCGGTTCTCGCGGGGACAGCTACTATGAATACCTTGTCAAGATGTGGATGCAACAGGGCGGAGCTCGCCCAGGAGGGGAACATGTCTCGTGGCTGAGGAAAATGTATGACGAGGCCATGACAGGTGTGAAGACACGGCTAATATCGCGATCCTTCCCTCGAGGTCTCACATATGTTGCAGAGTTGCCTTCAGGGCCTGGTGGTGGAAAATACCCGAAAATGGATCACCTTGTGTGCTTTTTGCCTGGCACACTCGCTCTGGGAGCAACGCGTGGCATGCCACTCAAGCAAGCACAAGCCACGGGCCTTCTCTCCCAACGGGATGTGGATGATCTCAAGATCGCAGAGGAGCTGACACATACATGTTTTGAAATGTACAATGCCACGCTGACAGGACTTGCCCCGGAGATAGCCTATTTCAACACAAGGCAGGAAGGGGGTGATGACCCTGACCGAGGCACACGCCCTGATGCATGGTACGGTAAAGATATTGTGATTCACAGCCAGGACAGACACAACCTCCTGCGACCAGAGACAGTAGAGAGTCTATTCTATTTATACAGAATTACAGGTGATGGCAAGTATCGTGAATGGGGTTGGAAGATCTTCCAGGCTTTCGAGAACTATTCCAAGGTGGAAACAGGTGGTTATTCATCTCTCCAAGATGTCACACGGGTTCCTCCACCTCGGAGGGACAAGATGGAGACTTTCTTCGTCGGGGAAACACTCAAGTACCTCTACTTGCTGTTTGGTGATCCAGGGGTAATGCCACTCGATTCTGTTGTTTTCAACACAGAAGCACACCCCCTGCCGATTCTGGAAAACCATGGTGATATGCGYGCTCAMTCTCTATAAGCTTGTATAGAGGCTGTGTTGCTTCAACTGATTCAGTTCATCATTTTTTACATTGCCCATTGTTTCAGGTCTGCAAAATAAATGATCACCTTAGGCCAGCTCTTCGCGAGGGAGCGTCTCTGGATAGGGCTCTTTTTYCCTGACGTTTTGAAGTTACATGAAGTGGAACTAGACTGAAGGGAAGTAGTGACCGAGTGTGGGGCTGTGCAGGCTTCATCTCCTTCCATGTTACTGGCAACCAAAGTTCTGTTAAGTTTTAACTGATTTATCATGCAGAAGGAGACCAAGAAGAGAGTAGGGAGGGAGGTGTGGAAGGAGCTTAGAAGGAAACAGTGGCTGGCAGATTCTGTTAAGGGATGGGAGTGGACTGGTACAAGGAGGGATGCAAGAGGCCTGCATCTCTGTTAAGGCGTGTTCTGCAGGAGGTTGGCAGACATTATCATTTTACTGTTTATGTGTCACAATGGTAGCACATGTACGGTCAGGGTTCACAGTTCCAATTTGGACGTGGACAGCTGTCAATACCTTGGTGCCTGTCACAGTACCGATACCTTGGTATCGGTACATACTACGTAGTGTGCTTAGCAGATGTGATGCGGCAATCGTGGACCGTTTTCTGCCTGTCTCGTTCTCCCCACAGCTTGTCTTTTTTGTTTTTGAGATCTTGCAGCTGGCAGAATCATTCTTTCCGCTGGGTCATCGTACGTCATTCACGGGGCGGGGACGCCTTGGTTACCACAGCTTGGCCCCATAGCAACAACCTTTCTTACCCCTCACTGTATGTGCCATCTTGCGTTGCAGCGCAAGAGGCTTATGGACTGTGAGTTTGCGACCACTGAGGGTTCACTGCAAAGCGCTGGAAGGAATTCCCCACCCATGTTTCTAGGTTGCTGTTTTTCTATCGGAATTGAAGTTATTGAGGGAAACCTCGCGAGTCCAACCCCGCCCCTCCTTGCTTGCCTTGTTACCTACCTGCTTTGCCCCGCTTACTCCTCTCTTCGTTCATTTGATTTGATTCCCAACTCATTTCTGTTTCTTCTATGGGAACCAAAGTTCATTGACAGAGCCTCGCATCCCCTGGTTGGTCTGCCTCTTGGCTTGCATTCGGTGTCCTTCCTTGCTTGCTTTCATTGTTGCCTACTTTCTTATCCTTTCATTCCTCTCACTTCAGCCATTGGAAAGAGACAGAGGGGGACAGAAGGACAGATTAGGATGGAGTGTGAGAGAGTATTGTGCATTTTTTACCAATTTATTTCAGTGTGAGTCTGTTTTTTTTTTTTTTTTTTCAATACATGGTAGAGGGTTGAGTGGGCAGTCGTCTTGTCTTTTGAGAATCCGGTTCTGCTGTGTTATTGTGGGAAACAAGGTGTGATTGTTAAAACAGTAGAGGTATCATTGACGCGGTAGCCCTTTGAGAATTTGTTTCCATTGTGTTGTACCTTGTTGGAACCCGAAGGCTGAGTTCCATTGCCCTTCACCGGATTAGGCGATCTCTTTTTTTGGAAAGGGGGCCTACTGCAACTGCATCTGACAGTCTCCTTCGAAAAAAAAAACAAAAAAAAGGGTCTATTGTCACTGTGAAATCAGACTCGTCTTCTTCTCACTTCGCATGCATGCAAACAGATGGCAAAGCACGCTGGCGCGAGGCGCCCACACAAATGTTATGATTCTGGTTGTTTGTTGTCTGATGACCAACACTCACTCACATAGACTTCCAGGTATGCCCATACATACACAGAAGGAAGGGGAGAGGATAGGAGTATCACACTGCACAGGGAGAGATAACACAGCGGAAGACTTGACCATGCGATATGACAGGGTACACTGAAAGTGCAATTCACTCCACTCAATCCTCACAACCAGTCATAGAGAAAAGCCGAGCAGATCACATCCAGGAAACAATGAAACGATGATAGTCCAAACCCAGTTACACACTGTCTATTAAACTCAGAGTCTCGAATTGTCAGGATAACTTCAGTACTACAGTGCGCTGCTCAGAAATGAGCAGCGCTTCACTCCCCAACCCTGATTAGCACCCGTAACACCCCTGAGCCCCTGAAACATTAAGCGCCACCCAAATACAGCCTCCTGCAGGAAGCGCCACCCTGAAACAGGCCTCTGAGGCCAAGCGCCACTCAGAGGATGAAGAAGAAGACCAGCGCCACAGTATCTGATGATGACGAACTGTCGGAACACTTCCCGCGTGGAAGTCTGCAGCAGCGCCACCAAACCCTGACAAGATTACCTCTGAGGAAGAAGCTGCAGCTATGGCTGCAGCATCACCACCCTGGAACCCCACTCCGGAGGAGGGTCCAGCAGGGCACCAATCTCTCTCGCCTCCAGCAGACCTCGATAACCCAGACCTCTGTCAGTCCCTGCGTGCTGGCAGAGTACAGCGCAGGTCCCAGCTATGGCCGGCGCTCCGAAGGTCTGGCTATGCCTGTCTCCTTCCACGCTGAGCCGTCACCACTTCCGGTTCACGCGTGGCGCAGCAGCGATGTACGCGGTACCAACTGCCAAAAGCCCTGAACCGATGTGCCCATCCTATCTATAGACTACCACTAGCCTAGACTCGACCTAGACCGGACTGACTGACCGACCGGTACCGTATCTGTTTCGACCTCTCGGCCTCTACCGGACCCGGCTATAGGCTATGGGACCTTCTATCAGAATAGTCCCTTAGGGCCTATCTGTCCTAGGGGTAGCCCGGGCCTGCTATTCGCAGTTAGGTTAACTGTAGGAAATTCAGTTAGTACGGGCCTGTATTTTCCCGTATTTACAGATATGTCCCTCACGAATTTTCCTTACAGGCAGGTCACACGGTTAGCCCTCAGCCAAACAAAATTACGAATCTAACCTAAGACGCGACCCGACCCGACCGAGGCAAGCCCCAAGCTTCGCCCTCGGCCCAATGCACAGTCCACTGAGAATCTGCAGGCTTCATTACACAAAGCTCAGAGATATTCAAGCTGAGAACACAGTTCGGATACAAACTCACTTCAGACTGGCTATGGCGCCCAACCGCCTACACTTCCCTTCCCAACTCTGTATCCACGGCGACTGTTCACACGCACTCCACCCTGGATCTCCCTGGATATCCCACGTACACACACTCTGTATCACACACGCACATACACACTTTCACTACCACCTATCGCTAGCTATGGCAGCTATGGCCTCCGGCTACCACTACTACAAGCAGTGATGGCTGCTCTTTCTTCCTCACGGCCCACTTCGACTTCGGGCATCTGCAGACCACCTCGCACAAGATGCTAGAGCAGCGCTTCCGCATGGCTCACGCAGGAATGAATGAATGGCTGGACGCTGCCTCTTGATTTATACTTCTGTTGGTCGCTGGTCTGCCCCTTTTCCACCGGACCACGGTGCACACACTCCCACATGGTACTTGCTGACTGGACAAAGTGAAACTGGGACTGGGTACCGCTGACTAAGCAAAGTTGGACTACCCACTTGCCCACTCGCCTCTGGCCTAACGTGAGCAACATTCGAAAGACCACTTCTGGACCTTCCGGAAGTCTGTGGACTTGGCCTTTCGGAGTCGTAGCAGCTACGACCTTGACCTTTCAGAGTTACAACAGCTATGACATCTACACAGCTATGACCCCTACTCGGCAGACCTACGGTTCAAGACCCGACACCTACACAGACCTATGACAGACAATAATCAGCTATCAAAACACAGGTCACGGGTTCAAAAACACACGAGGGTCGGGTGAGGTAAGGTCTAGGGATCGAGCCCTGGGATCTGCATCTGTTACTGCAAAGGTGAAAAGTTGAAAACCGTTTCGACTGCATGTAAAAGGCTCCCTTTTTTTTGGCAGTCTCCTTTTTCTGAAAGGCGTCAGCCCCTATTGTTATTGTATCCATCAGGATTTTAAGTTTGAACTCCTCATCTATCTACCAAGAGCTGCATGTGTGTACCGTTCTGCCACAAGGCAGGAGATACGCTCTGGGCAACCTACTGGGTTGGTGGGTTTTCTGCCTCGCTGCACTCTTTTGGTGGTGTTTGTTTTTCTTCTTTTTTAATAGGGTTAGTGTTTCTGTACTCTGTCATGTACTTTCGCTGTTCCTGTGGCCACAGATCTTAGCAACCCTCTTTTAAGTTTTTTTTCGCAGGTCACTGATAGTGATAGGCTTAGCTGAGTCCTCTTTCTGTAGGGGGAAAGGGGGCCAGGGGGGATGGATGGAGGTAGTGAGGCTGGTTTGTAGTATGCCGTCTATGGTAGTTTTTTTTTTTTTTTTCCTTTCCCTTAGGATTTGAATCATACCTGCGAGTATGTCGGTTTGTTGTTGCTTCATCTTCTGTCCATAGCTTCCAGAAGGAAATCTCCACTCCAACCATTTGCCAATGAAACAGTCAGGCCACTATCAAGGGAGTCAAAAATCACTTACTTCTCTGTCTCATGGGAGACACGCTCGAGGACTGACAGAATGTTTGTTGGGGATGATACTTAATTTCTTGGCAACGGGGTAGTAGCTGCGGAGCCCTGTAGTTGATGAAGAGAAAGAAGCGAGAAGGGAGGAGTGCAGTTGTTGCGATTGATGGGGAGAGAGAAAGGAGAAGGGAGGCGTGCAGCTGTTGGGATTGATGCAGAGGGAGAAGCGTGGAGGGAGGGCTGCAGTTGTTAAGATTGAGTGTAATTTGATCGAAGCTGTTGATCTTCGAAGTTAAAACATCTCCTCACTTTCTTGTTGGAATGTGTTGTGGGCAATCACCGGTTCCATACAATATCAGTATTTTCAATTATTGCCATCCAATCCTCGGTGGTGCATGTAATTTCATTAATTTTCCAGTTTGTTTTTGTCCTGCTCTTACTACAGGTCCTAACAAAAGGCTAACATGGAAAATAACGAAGAAGAAAACCGACAAATAGAACATCTCAAAATCACCTGCGTACGTCCTTGCACCATCCTGGCAGTCGGGGGATGTTCACACTAGGGCTTTATTGCACGCATTTGATTGCAATTACGAGCCAGATTCAGCCCCAAGAGCTGTAATATGCTTTGAGCCTCACTGCTCGACACCTTGAGCACACACACACATTGAGAGGTCACACGAAAACCACACTGGAGTCCAGACGCGCAGCTTAGAAAGTTCCAACAAATTATCATATTAAACAGTTTCGGAGTTCCAGTCACCAAGCGCTCAACAGCGCAGAGTTCAGCAACCTAATACCAGCATCCTCATCTAAGGTAGGTGACTCTCCTCTCTACCTGGCTCTCTCT